GGCACCTATAAGCAGAGTTTTGTCTTTACCCTATAAGATTCAAAATTATTCAAAGTAACACTCAGGTATACCGTTCAGCAGGTTAGTTACGACGTCGGGAGTAGCTTGGGAGAACAAGGAACACAGACTGCTTCAGGTTGCTTTCCCAAAATCAACTCAAAGGTTTATTCATCAGACAACAGTTTATATAGAGGAAAAAGGTTCATGTGTCAGCAGATTCTCAGTTCAAACCGGTACAGACCAAATAAGGAAGCGTCTTCCTGCCCTCTGAGCAAAGAAGTATCCTTTGTATAGTTTATCAGTTCAGCTACAATTTATGATCATCCCAGCAAAATACACTCCTAGACATAGAATACAGAGTTCTTTCATTAGTGAATTCTGAAACAAACCACCTGGCTTTTTAACAAGCCTTTTTGTAAGAGATAAAGAAGGGAGGATGGGAGTAAGGAAGTGATCTCTGTGGTGTTTTCGACCTTGAGGTACCAGCCTGTGATTCTTACACATTAATTCTTGGGTCACAGAGAAAGAGAAAAACAACTAGAATAGAATAGAATAGAATAGAATTCAACTTTATTGTCATTGCACATGCACAGGTACAGGGCAACGAAATGCAGTTTGCATCCATCCAGAAGTGCTTTAGTGATATAGATATATTACAATATATATTAGCAATAATATAGATATGTGAGTATATTACAGAAATGGGTCTATTATGGTATGTTATAATGTACACGGTATGAAGTATGTTGTGAATATTCTATAACTATAAGTATGTACAGGCTGTAGTGAGTACAAGCTATGTACAGGATATGAACAGGATATAAATATGAAAAACTATACAGAATATGAAATAAATAACTTTACAGAATCTGGGATATACAGCTATACAGAAATGGGAACTATGCAAGTTGTAAACAGTTGTAGGATTAAAGATTATCGAATGTACAGAATGATTATTTACACAGAGCTATACAGTAGTGCAGTTAAGATAAGTGAGGGTGTAGATAGTTTCTACAGAGGCTATATAAAGTGCTAGTGGTTGTGAGTGGTGGTTCAGTCCATGTTATTATTGTGTTTGAGGGTACAGTTGTCCATTGTGGGTGTGTGTATGTTCAGTCCATGAGTTTAACGTGGGTCAGATGTCAGGAGGCAGAGTTCAGGAGTCTGACAGCTGTGGGGAAGAAGCTGTTCCGGTACCTGGTGGTCTTAGTCCGGAGGCTCCTGTGGCGCCTCCCAGAGGGCAGGAGGGTGAAGAGTCCATGTGATGGGTGACTGGGGTCTTTGATGATTTTCCCAGCCCTTTTCAGACACCGCTTCCTGTAGATGTCTTTTATGGCAGGAAGTGGTGCTCCGGCGATGCGCTGGGCAGTTTTCACGACCCTCTGCAACGCCTTCCGGTCCGAGGCAGAGCAGTTCCCGTACCAGACTGTTATACAGTTGGTCAGGATGCTCTCGATGGTGCAGCGATAGAAGTTCACCAGGATGTCTGAGGACAGGTGGTTCTTCCTCAGAGTCCTCAAGAAGAAGAGGCGCTGGTGAGCCTTCTTGACCAGCTTGGAGCAGTTGGTCGTCCAGGTGAGATCCTCGGAGATGTGGACTCCCAGGAACTTGAAGCTGCTCACACGCTCCACAGCCGTCCCCTTAATGTGGATGGGTGGATGTGGGTCAGCATTCCTCCTGTAGTCCACGATGAGCTCCTTGGTCTTCTCGGTGTTAAGCAGCAGGTTGTTTCTGTCGCACCACTCAGCCAGACGATCCACCTCCTCCCTGTAGGCGGCCTCATCGTTGTCACTGATGAGGCCAATCACCGTGGTGTCATCTGCAAACTTAATGATGGTGTTGGAACCATCAGCAGGTCTGCAGTCGTGGGTGAAGAGGGAGTAGAGGAAAGGGCTCATCACACAGCCTTGTGGTACACCGGTGTTCATTGTGATTGTAGATGAGCAGTGGGTATCCAGCCGGACATGTTGGGGCGGTTGGTCAGGAAGTCCAGTAACCATTTGCAGATGAGGGAACTGATACCCAGGTCTGTCAGTTTCCTGATGAGTTGTGAGGGGTGGATTGTATTGAATGCTGAACTGAAGTCTATAAACAGCATTCTGGCGTAGGTGTTGTTGTTGTCCAGGTGTGAGAGGACAGAGTGCATTGCGATGGAGACTGCATCCTCTGTGCTCCTGTTCCGGCGGTATGCGAATTGGTGGGGTCCAGGGTGGGGGGAGACAGGATTTGAAGTGTGCTAGGACCAGCTGCTCTAAGCACTTAGTGATGATGGGGGTGAGTGCTACTGGGCGGTAATCATTGAGGCAAGATGGGTTGGAGTTTTTGGGTATCGGGACGATGGAGGTGGATTTGAAGCAGGCCGGTACCACAGCGTGGGCCAAGGACAGGTTGAATATGTCTGTGAGCACTCCTGCAAGCTCCCCAGAACACGCTCTGAGAACACGCCCGGGGATGCCATCAGGGCCTGCAGCCTTGTGAACATTGATCCTGCTCAGCACCGCTCCTACATCGGTGGGGGAGGAGTCATAGGTTGGTGGTCTGGCGTCATGTCTGCTTTGGTTGTGGTTGTGGGGTTCCCTCGCTCAAAAACGAGCATAAAAGTTGTTGAGCTCGTTGAGGAAGGAGACATCAGAGGATGCGGGGGAGGGTTTGGTGGTCCTGTAGTCTGTGATGGTCTGGAGTCCTTGCCACATGCGTCGGGGGTTGGAGTTGGAGAACTGTTCTTCTACCTTCTTTTTGTAATGGTGTTTGGCTTTTTTGATGCCCTTCTTTAGATTAGCCCTAGTAAATGGGCCTTATTGAGTAACAGTTTCCTGTATAATATCACTATAAAACAATATCCTGTAAATGCTACCATGGTATCAAAATATCACAACAATGACAACGTGTACAACCATTGGAGATGTGAGCAGGACAGACGGAACAACTGACGGACAAAGTGTGGACTTTATACCAGTTTTTAAACTGTGTTGATCGGCCACGTAAAACCAGAGTTATGATAAAATATCTGCAGTGTTTGTTTTCCTTCCTGAATACTGTCGTTGTTTATATTTACTGCAGGAAGAAATGGTAAAAATGGCGTTTTATAAGGAAAACGCTCAAAAGCCTGTGAGCAAAGACAACACCAAAAAAGCCCCACCCTTTCCTATTGGTCGAAAAATATACCATGTCGACCAATCAAAAAATGATATGGCAACATGGCCTTTAGTTGTTTAGGAAGGAGGAAGTTTTAGGAGTGACGGCGAGAGAGAGGGGGGGAGAGAGAGGGGGAGGAGAGGGGGAGAGAGAGGCGGGGAGAGGGAGGGGGGGAGGGAGAGAGAGATTTGAGATTTGTGACGTTTAGCGTGTTTGGAGTGTGTAGTTAGTGTGTAGTTAGTGTGTAGTTAGTGTGTAGTTAGTGTGTAGTCAGTGTGTAGTGTGGTCAGTAGTGTTGTTGTGTGTCAGGACAATGAGGCGCCTGCTGAGTGTTACAGGTGTTACAGCAGTGATACATCTGCTGCTGTCAGGCCTGCAGGTATCAGGCTGTTGTTCTCCTTCATCTCATAGTGGACAGAAATTATTTTTTGGAGCGGCACAAATAATTTGTGTGGCATCAGATTTGATGCAGAACAGCTGATTGTTCTGTGAATAGTTTGAAATGTTTGTTTAAAAAATGCCTTGGCTGCATTTTTAGGTAAACAGCTGCAAAACACTTTGTTGTTTGCATAACTCAGTTACTCTTTTGAAGAAGTAACTAAATAATTAATTGCCCAACATTGGTCATTATTTACTGTATTTTGCAGACAGAGTTACAGGACTCTCTCCCACAGAGTCATACTCATAATACAAGTCAGAGCTTTATAAAAATAAAAAAAAGAAAGTTGTGTTTTCAAAACTGGAGTTCAAGTTATTTTTACTTCCAATAGTGTTAACATGCTACAAACCAATTTTTCTAAAACATTGTAAGTGGCCTAAAGCAGTTAATTAAAAGTCGTCTAAGATAAATGTAAATGCTGTAATTTGATTACTTTAATAACCATGTAAATTGGATGGATTAGATGCTGGCGTGACCACAGTGCACACGTCTGCTGGTGCTCACAGTGGTCCAAGAGACGCTCAGGGAGTTTGTGTGTTCGCTCAGACACGTGAAACATTAGAGGGAATATTGATCCTTGGTAGTTAAATCTAGTTTTTACCAACTGCGTCAAATATCCAAGGCCAAGCACTACATAGGACCTTGAGAACCTATCCATGCATTTCTGACCTCTAGATTAGACTACTGTGATTCCCTTTACTTTGGTCTCTGCCCTTCTTCATAGATTGCAGCTTGTCCAGAATGCTGCGGCACACCTTTTGACTGGAACCAGAAGGTTTGCCTCTATTACCCCAGTCCTCGCTGACCTGCATTGGCTCCCTGTCAAATACCACATTGAGTTCAAAATTCTCTTGCTCACCTTTCAAACCATAAACAATACTGCGCCGTGCTACCTCATTGAACTCCTTAATCCGTATATCCCCAGGAGAGCCCTAAGATCATCAGGACAGTTACTCTTGGTGCAGCCTAGATCCCAGCTAAAGACCAGAGGTGACCGTGCTTTTGTCCTGGCAGGCCCTAGCTTCTGGAACAATCTTCCTGCTGCCGTTCACGCCTCTGATTCCATCCATTCATTTAAATCACAGTTAAAAACTTAGCTGTGTGGCCGAGCGTTTTCGGTTAGTCAGTGCACATTCCCTATATTTCATCCAGCTGTTATTTATCTTCTATTGATGTACCACTGTATGTATACCCCCACTTTATATTTATGAATACTCAGTGATTTTATTTTCTAAAATACGCTCTGATGTTTTATTTCTTATTTTATCTGTATTTTTGTTTAACCAGCTTTTCTCAATTCTTAGCTTATTTGTACTCTGTTATGGTCTCATATCTGTTATGTTTGAACATTTTTATGAAGCACTTTGGTGTACCTTCGGTCTTAAATGTGCTATACAAATAGTTGTTGTTGTTGTTGTTGTTGCAGGTCTCTTCTTAGCTGACATCTTGGAAAAATATTTCGGCAGTCCCTCTCTCTTTTCTGTTATGCGATTGGGTCGTTTGTTCACCTTATGTGGAGCATTCCCTCACATTCGGTTTGCCAGAAGGATCTGGATGCTGATTATGGGCTTTGTGATGTCACTTCCTGCCCTTTTCAACATCGGCCTGCTCTTCTTCCTAATTGTGTACACATTCTCCATCATTGGGATGTTTAACTTTGCCTACGTGAAGCATGAGATGATGATCGATGACATGTTTAACTTCAAGACATTTGGAAACAGCATCATCAGCATGACTATGATCACCACGTCCTCGGGGTGGGACGGCCTGTTGAGTCCCATCATGAACACGCCTCCAGACTGCGACCTGCGATTACCTGAGCCTGGTAACTGCGCCAACCCGACGGTGGGGATTGTTTTCTTCAGCTCCTACATCCTCCTCTTCTGCCTGCTGGTGATCCACCTGTTCATCGTTGTCATCCTGGAGCTCTTCAACACAGCGAGCCCTGAGGACGCTGAGATGCTGAGTGATGATCACCTCCAGATGTTTTATGAAACCTGGAGGAGATTTGACCCCAGTGGCTCGCAGGTCATACAGTACAGGTGAGACTGAGCTCGGTGACGGTTTCTAACCTTAACACTAATCAAAAATGGTTCTGCACTATAATGGACTCCACTGTAACAGTCTAATAGTCTCTAATGGACTTTAATATTTTCTAATGTGTTCCCCAGTGAGCTGGCAGACTTCTGTGATGGTCTCCAGGATCCTTTGAGGATTCCCAAACCAAACACCATAAAACTGACTCACTTGAATCTGCCTCTGTTTCCTGGAGACCAGATCAGCTGTTTGGATGTTCTGCGCACAATTACTACACAGGTAAGGTCACCTGGGACGGGCTGCCAACATTTTGATATGTTTCTTAAACTCTGTTTGCTTAAACTAAAACCACTCTAAAGTCTTCTCCTTAAATGTTTACTGAAGAATTTTAGGTTTCCTCTTTATTTTCATCTTGTTAATCAACCAAAGACCCAGACATTCATTTGAAAGCCTGATGCTTAGCCTCGTCCACCCAGCTGTAAAACTCAGAAACCAGTCTTACTTGTTATCATCTATCGTCCACCTGGGCCTTACACAGAGTTTCTGTCTGATTTCTCAGACTTTTTATCTGATTTAGTTCTCAGCTCAGATAAAATAATTATTGTGGGTGATATTGTGGATCCAAATTCCAAAGATGGCGCCAGTGTTCACGGCCAGCCGTCTGTCCCTCCCAGTGTTATTGTTTGCCTTTGTTTTGCTCGCTTCAAAAGATGCTAACTCTCTGTGTTTTTATGATCGCCAAACGCTTTAGATTTAACATTACCTTGTTAGAGACGTGAATCCTGCTGGAACTACGGAAATCAGAAATTTCTCCCTCCACCGTTTCTGCCCGGCGTTTCTGTCCCTGCCAGCCTTTGCTTTATCTCGAAGCTACCCCAATCAACCAGGCACCGCCGGCGCTGGGGAAGACGAAGCAGTCGACTGGTGAGACTGAAGGCTGCCTTCTTATGTCCCGGGAATGATCAATACTTTGAGGCGGCCAGATCTGACTACGTCAAACACTGGACCTCCCCGACCATGATCTACCCCTGTATGGTTCCTGTCGCTGGGATTACTACAATGATCCCACGCCTGCGACCTCCGCGACATCGTCGAAGAGGAATAAATTTCCAGAACCTGCGGACACTTCAACGGGCTCCTATTTCCATTACTAAGCCTTCGACTTCACTAAGGAGTAGCCTTGCTAATGTCCGCTCGTTAGCTAATAAAACCTTTATTTTAAAGGACTTTTTTACTCACAGCGATTTGGATCTGACGATCCTATGGATTTGGATTACCAATTTTAATTTGGAAATAATTGATGCAATCTTTTCCGACTACTGTCCATTAGTGTTTAATATACTTTTATCTCATTGCCATCTTAAACCTACATCCTCAACACGATGTTATCGTGTTTTTAAACCAACGGCCACAGAACAGTTTTCCACTGCCTTTGAAGGACTGTCGAATTCTTCTCTTGGTGATGGCATTGTGCAGATGGATTTGAATTTTAATAATAAATGTAAGACTATTCTTGATGAGATCGCCCCATTTAAATCAGTGCGATCAACAGCGTACTCAGACCCGTGGATAAACGACTCAACTCGATCAGCTAGGCGACAGTACAGGAAGGCTGAACGAAAATGGAAAAAAGACAAGTTACAAGTGTCTTTCCTGCTGCTGAGAGAGAGCCTATCTAGATATCAAGTCATCGTAAAAGCCGAAAAATCTAAGTTTCTCACAACATTATTGAGACCAACTCTAATAACCCCCGAACTCTTTTCTCAGTTATTGATTCGGTCTTGAATACCTCCCCCGCTTTCCATATAGATAGCTCCATTGAAACTTGCGATAGATTCTTGCAGTTTTTTATTAATAAGATAGAAAGGCTTCGATCTACATCTACCCCATCTCTGTATAATGTCTCATCAACATATACCCCCTCAACTGCTTTTGACCAGTTTGAGGCTGTATGTCTTAAGCAGGTAGAAGAGCTTTGCAATAGCATAAAGACATCATCCTGCCCCTCAGATGGAGTCCCAACCCATTTTCTAAAAAAGATAATTAAGGTAGTCAGTCCTGACATTTTAACTATTTTTAATAGCAGTCTCAGCTCTGGAGTAGTACCAACTGGATATAAGCACGCTGTAGTGCAGCCAGTGCTTATAAAACCGAATCTTGATTCCTCTGTTCTTGCTAATTTTAGACCTGTTTCCAAGCTACCGTTTCTGTCAAAACTTCTAGAAAGGATTGTATTTGAGCAGCTACAAACCTTTCTAAACAGTCATAATATTTTTGAGAAGTTCCAGTCGGGCTTCAAAACCCACCACAGCACAGAAACTGCCCTCCTAAAGATACTTAATGATATTTTATTAATCACTGACTCAGGAGACCCAGCTGTGCTCCTGCTCCCAGACTTAACTGCAGCCTTTGATCCTGTTGACCACAGCATTCTGATCTCCCGTTTGGAGCAATGTGGTATCAAAGGTATCCCCTTGGAACGGTTTAGGTCGTACCTCTCCAAGAGGACTTTTTCCGTGAGCCTTGATGATTTTATTTCTTCCCCAGCTCCTTTTACTTGTGGTGTCCCGCAGGGATCCGTATTAGGCCCAATTCTTTTTTTCAATCTACATGTTGCCCCTAGGCCTAATCTTTAGGAAGCATAACATCTGCTTTCACTCATATGCCGATGACACCCAGATTTATCTTCGGTTTAATAGAAACACCTCTACGCCCATGGAATCGTTAGTCAAATGTCTCGACGAAGTTAAAGCTCAGGCGGTAGAGCAGGTCATCTACTGATTGGAAGGTTGGTGGTTCGATTCCTGGCTTCCCCTAGTCTGCATGCCAAATATCCTTGGGCAAGATACTAACCCCAAATTGCTCTCCGATTCATCCATCGGAGTATGAGTGTGTGTGAATGTTACTGAGAAAGATGTGCTTGTGCGAATGGGTGTGAATGGGTGAATGCACAAGTTGTGTAAAGCGCTTTGAGTGCTCAGAAGAGTAGAAAAGCGCTATATAAGAACCAGTCTGATAGGTTTGTAGCATAAACCTATTCGCTGGAACGTTAAGACAATATAATTACACTGCAAGCAAGACACAAGTAGGCAAACTTCTTCATGGTACTCGTGCACGGGAGAGAACCAGACAGGCACCGTTCCTTCGCTTGACCCCAGTAGCTCTCGTCCGTCCTCCCATACACTATCCTTTTATTGAGGTTACATGAATATGCATAGGTTCATTAACATACGACGTCTACATACAAACAAAGAGTACCTTGCCTGTGTGTGTGTGTGTGTGTGTGTGTGTGTGTGTGTGTGTGTGTGTGGTGTGTGTGTGTGTTGCTGATCAAAGGGTCAAACATCCTTGGTCAGGAAGAGGGTAGACTAGACCCCCCCGGTGAGGAAGTCCAGCAGTTCATCTAAACAGAAAAGCACTTAGACTAAAACAGACGTAGCTACGTTAATCCTACCATAAAACAATTAAAACAAGATGCGACCTCTTCCCGTGCTCCCAAAGTGCTGTCTAATACACACAAAGTTTGCAGACTATCAAGGATCAAAACCTCTACCAATCTACAACTAATTACAAAACTCTAAGCATATATAAGTAAATATTTCTAAGCATAAATGACAATCAACAATACAAATCTAACATTTCCCCCCTTTTTGACCTTTATGCTTGAAAAGTTCCCAGGTATGAATACCTCATGTCTGACAGTTTCAATGTAAACATTTTTATACTCAGCATATGTCAAATCACCCTAAATTACTGTAAAAGTTACACAGTTTAATAAATGTATTAGCAGTTACCCCATTCATTGAGCTCATCTCATGGCAAACTGCATCTTACGAGCAACCAAAGAAATTGTTAATTTAATAGTGAAACTAGGAAGATAACATTTTCAAAAACATCTCAGCTTGGTGACGCTTCCTCCGGGTGTGCAAATCACATGTCTCTCTGCAGAGTGGTTTGAGTTCTGCAGGGCGTCATAATGTCTCTTCTAGTTGTTTCGTTGTTCATAGGACCAGAGTCCAAATGTATGTAGAATAAACATTCAAACATACCAGTTAGTTTTGTTGTTTGTCAACATGGGTCTCAGCTATTTCCAAAGCTGCAGACCTCTCAGCACTCTAGTTTTATGGCCTCCCATCACCTCACTTCAGGCCTTCATCCTGCGAGGGGGATATTTATGACTCCTTCATTGTCCACGCTCTGCAGAGAAACACCTCTGTGGAAAGGGTGCAGGGTTCAGTTGTCTTACTGCTGTTATGATCCCAGCAGCCTTCAGAGTGTCATCGTATGCACAGTATAGTGGCACAGCATTAGGTGATGTTCATAGGAAACTGCTGTCATCACCACCATAGCTTCTGGTTCCTGTGCTTTTCACAGAATCATGATGTCATCCTCGAACTGCTTCTACGCTGTCAATGGAGCTTGGCACGCTCCCCTCATCCCACGAGTTTTCATGTTCCAACGCTGCTGAAGATTTAAGGCAGAGCACGTCATACACCTTAGTTGTCTTCCTCAGCGTCAATATTGAATCTTTCATTTTATTTAAAATCTCCTGGAAGCTCAGTAGCACAGCTCTCTGTGTGATGTCTGCTGTGCTGAAGATGATCTCTGATCCTCCTGAAGCCTCTCTCCTGGCCTCAGCTCCCATCTTGTGGACGATCCTCTCCTCTATTTTGCAAGCAGTTTCATGGTCCTTGCTGTGGCTCCAAGGTCTGATCTCATGATGGGCCCCAACCAGCTTGACCTTTGACCTCAACCACTGCCTGGCTGTCAGCTATGCCTGGAATGGTTCACGCTTCTCACTGGGCCTCTGAAGATTTCTCAGGAGATTACTGCTGCACCTGTATTTCCTTGCTAAGAAGAAAAACTTCTATTTGGAGAGCATGTCAACAATCAACAAACCACATTCTTTAGTTCAGTGAACTTCACTTATAGGCCATCAAAGCCTCATCTGAACATGGATGCACCACTTGCATAGGTTTAATACTTGTAAATAAACGGCTAATCACACAAATCACTGCAACAATAATAGTAAACATTGTTTAATGTTAATCCTTGCACTCCACCTCTTGACGCATGGACATTCCCATGCATCAACTCACCAAACCTGGATCCCTGTCTTAAAGAAAAAGATTAGCTAGATCATGTCCCAGGCAACATCAGGGCATCACCTCTGGAGTAGCTCCGAAACTCTGCAATAAAAAATGTTAGTGTGTGTTGCATATTAAGTTTGCTTAACACCTGGCTCTCCCAGGAGCCTGCATACACACCATCACGGCCTGGAAAGCAAAATCTGGAAGTAAAATCAAACTCCATACCTGTAAACAATTGTATCATAAGGACAAGAAGCATTCAACATCAGCAAGACAAGTGTCATGTGCAGGTTTTCTCAAATCAGTAAACTACAATTATTTCATAAGTCGCCTCAGACATGGATCATCCCATGTACTCAGGCAACATT